CAGGGCCACTGTTAGATATCACGGGGCCCCGTACAGCCTACCTGACAGCCCCTCACCACCAGAGAAAATATCCAAATTACATTTATGGTAAAAATATACTAAAAAGTTGCTAAACTTGGGTCACTATTATGTTTTAATTTAAAATGCTTCGACACACTATGTTTTTCAAAACCTTTTTTTTATATCATTTAAATGTTCTGCAATCCTCGTCTTCAAATGTCTCCCTGTTCTTCCTACGTATTGGAGGCGACACGGGCACTCCAAAACATAGATCACATGTGTTGAATTACATTAGATAAACGAGTCGATATTATACTCTTTATTAGTTGTACTTGAACAGAACTTTTTCTTACTTTTAGTCAAATCTTATTCACTGTCTTACATGCTTTACATTTTTTACAGTGAAAAAAACCTTTTAGACCCGGAAAAACATTATTCTTTATATTAGGGGGATCTAAAATATTATGGACTATCTTTGTTCTCAGAGATCTATTTTTTCTATAGATAAATTTTGGTCTCTGGGGAATAATTTCTCTCAATACTTCATCTTTCAAAAGTATGGGCCAATATTTTTTAACAATTCCTTCTATGATCTTATATTGATTATTGAAATTCGTAATAAATGAGATATCAAAACCTTCATTTTTTTCTTTCTTATCAAGCAAAAGCCTCTTCCTATCTTTTTTATCAATCAAATCCCTTTCAGAAACCAAAAAGCATCTATTATACCCTTTTTCTGCGAATCTATCTATTAACATTTCTGTTTGATCAAAAAAGTCTTTTTGTAAACTACAATTTCTTTTTATCCATGTGAATTGACTTCTTGGGGTACTATATAACCATCTCGGATGATGTTCACTCGAGACGGGAATATAACTCTTTTTGTCAACATCCTTGAAAAAAGTCTTTGTCCAAATACAATCTTCATGTTTATACAATATCAGATCTAGAAAATTAATACTATAGAAATCACTAGTCATCGTGAATTTCAAACTATAGCGGTTCTCATTGATCACTACCAAAAATTTTTTCAAATCTTCAAAAGAACCTCTCCAAATCATCACAATATCATCTATATAGCACCTGTATAGCGCTATTTTAGGCCAATTTTTTAAAGATATTTTCTTCTTCCCGTTTGTCTTGATGTGTTCCAGATGCATTTTTGCATGTACTTTTTTGATGCATGTTTTTAGCGTGTTCCAGTGCATTTTGGATGCATTTTTGACGTGTTCCAGTGCATTTTTTATGCATTCCAGTTATTTTTTTCCCCTCTTTTTCTTCAATTTAATTAGGGACATGTGCGTTTTAGTGCATTCCATGGTGTTTTATCACGTTCCAGTACAGTTCTGTGCATAAACAATGCAGCCTGTTCAACTTTTTTGGCAGCACCTGCAATGCACTGGAACTGCAAGCACTGATGTGAACTATGACATTGACAACCATATAACTTTCTTTCTGTGTATTTTGGATACAGAAAAAGCAACTGAAACACATGTAGTGTGAACTGGCCCTAAAGTTTATTATAGGTAAGGGAACGGGACTGACTCGGAATTGTTAAATCAATCAGACTAGTGGTAAGATACAATTAGGAATCTTATACTACTGCATACCTGTCTGCCACCTGCTGACAAAGCTAGTGTGAACGTAGCCTAAGAGAAGAGAAACAAAGTTGCAATGAAATATAAACACTTTCTAGTCATTAGCCAAAATCTTAATTGATTGATCAGTATTCCTGGCACTTACAGAACCCTGGAAATTGACCTCCATATTTTGTCCATTCACAATAGTCTGTAATGTCAAGGAGCTTACAATCTAAGGCCAGAAACTTAAACATATACTAGGCCCAATTAACCTAAAAGCATGTCTTTGGACTGTTGGCAGAAACACACCCGTACAGAGAAAACACTCATACTCCAGATAGGTGCAGCCATGACTGGGATTAGAACCCATGACCCAAGTGCTAGTAAGCGCTGAGTACTAACCACTAAGCCACTGTAGCAGACAGAGTATGAGCTGGAATGTAGAATAGTTTCATGATTAAAGAGAATGAAGATATATAATTATATTAGCACATAAAAACGCTAACGGGACAAAGCCCGTGCTTGTGCGCCACCTAGTGACCATATCCAACATTGTTCCTAGAAAATGTGTCTAACCAAACTGTGTATATACTAAGGGTATTATGCCTAGAAAGTAGACTCTTTTTTTCCAATCAGCTTGCTAGACTCTTTTCTGAAGACTGATAGGTCTTAATTGATTGAATTGAGTCTGCCTGAATGTTCAGCGTCTGCTGGTAGACTCGATTCTTAGTAAATCAGGGCCTATATGTCGGCTTAAGTAATCTGATAACCAATGTGATCACAGTAATCATAGTAAAATGAAGGTTAAAAGTGCATATAGTATAAAATACCACTAATTAAATATCCTTTGATAGTGGAAACAGTGCATTTAAAAAAGAGAAATGAGGTAAAGCGTCCTCCTTTATGGAGATGTACCTGTGTAATTGGAATTAGGAGGCTATACTGAGATTATCACTCAAGTATTCATTTCTGATATGTTAACAATTTTATTAATGATATAGATATATTTTAATTGGTTTAGACAACCTTTGTTTGGAAATGGACTATAGGTTATAGGGAAAATCTGTAATTATTATTAGTATACAGGATTTATATAGTGCCAACAGTTTGCACAGTGCTTTACAATATAAAGGGAGATTGTACTTTTACAATAAAATTTAAGAGTAGGGTGGATATAGGGTTACTTTAGATTAACATGAGGTGGTTATATTGTAGCTGCCTTAATGCTTAACAAAGCCTAGATGGACGGAATACATGAGAACTTTTTCTATAAAGATTAAATCTAAAGGTTTTATAGTAAAGTAGATTGAAGCCCAATCTCACCAAGTCCACACACCCTGTTAGGATAGATGCCACCTGCAGTCGGCTGTTTAATAGTTTTTTGATCTGGCTGATGATTTTCTGTTCTTTCATATACAGATTGTTGATACCTTTTTGTTTGTATTTATTTTTATTTTTTTAAATCCAAAGCAGAATGTGTAGACTGTGAAATGATGTGTCCCATTTCCTTGTAAGTGCAGTGGTAAACTCAGGAAAACTTTGGATTTACGGACATCTCTGCATGACCCCATGGTATTGTTAACTTATATTATGTTGTGACTTGAAAAAATATGTAGGATGGTAACTAAGGATTTGTATTATTTAACTAAAACTAACAGCAGAGCAAGCAAACAAATTATATTATTGCTAGGAAAAGGTTGTCTTTTTAGAACATGAAACTGGAGTTCTTACACAAAGAGCATTGTAGGAAAATACAAACCATTGAGATATATTTTATGTAAGCTGGACACAGTAAGGACAGGTTCACCCGGCTATATCAGAGCAGTAACTGTATGCAAGGTGCAACAAGACAAAGGTACAGACATTATTTTGGTCAATTATTCAACTTTATTGGTCCCACATTTTGTGCAGCAATTATTGCAAACAGCCCAACTAAATATTTGTTAAATGCAAGGTTCACAAAATATAAATTTGTATTGCTATTTATGTACAAAATGTAATAATGAAAAAGGCGTACCCTTGAACTCAGCCACTTTATTGCCTATATAAGAGGAGGCTGGAGACAAAGAAAAACCACATGTGTTAAATTGATGTTGTAGAATCAGCTGCTGTGAGCCCAGTTAGGACACATTCCTTGATATTTGATTTTTTGTAGATTTCATCCTGGTTTTATACCAAGGATGACTAGACCCATACTGAATATGCAGTTATCACCCAGAATGACACTCTGTATTCAGTCATTGGATCCTTTTTCCCAGCTCAAGAAGCAGAGCTCCATGCTTAGCAAAGCCTGTGAGCTATCAAGAGAGTATACATTTATAAAGCTAGTAGAGAATTAAAGAGCTTTTGGGGTGGTGCATGATTTTGGTTCTATTTGAAGGGCTAGAAGTTTTTTTTACTTTGGCGGGTAAACTAATCAAGCATGGTACGTTAATGGATTGACTGTCTTCAGCCTTCCAGCTTCTTTCTGAGGTAGTCATACTAACATTAAAATGTACACACTGGAAGCAGACCAGACGATTAAGGATGCTGCATTACAGCCCCGGACACTTCTTGGGTCTGTGCAACTCACAGATTCCACCCTAGTTCTGGCCCAGTAGAGAGTAGGGATTAATAATTAAACTTTGAGGACCCCAGAACAAGAAGAACAAGTGGTCCACAGTGGGGGCAACTTCTTATGAAACAGGACTTTGGAAAATGGTGATCTTTTTGGTCTGCCAGCCACTCTTTTCCCTTCAGCTTGACACATGGACCGTGTTATCAGTCAGAAGCAGTTATGCCTGCCCTAGTGAATGAGTCTGGGATAGTACCAGGGTTAACCACAGTTGTTTTTGAATATACTGCTTTTTGTTTTATCTGCTAAGGTGTTACCAAAAACTGAACATCCCTTCCAGGATATATCCATATGCCCAAGTCAGGATCCTACGAGTATGCACTGGTCTGCATGGACATGCTTTCAGAATGGCCAGAAGTTTGGCCAGTGGCAAATGCTACTGCAAAGGCCAGAGCAAAGAGTGTTATCAGAAGTAGTTTGTGAGTACAGAGCCCCAGAAGCTAGAGAGAATAACAGAGGAACTCATTTTATGGGAGGGTTCTTACAAGAAGTTTTGAGATTTTATTTTACACCCCCAACCATCCACAATGTAGTGTAAAAAAGTAGAGTAGCTAAGGGGATGTCAGAAACTAGAAAACTATGGGCTGAATGTCTGGATATTTTTTAATCCCCTAAGGGGATATGTGGACTCTCTCCCTATGTGATTTTGTTTGATAGGTTGTCGCTCACTTGCTTATATCTTTCTCAGCAGCTTAAGTCCTCCACTTGGATCTCAGAGGATGCTGCTGATCCCTCAAGGTTTTTACAAACTCATTTACCGTATTTTTCGCTCCATAAGACGCGCCTAGGTTTTAGAGGAGAAAAACAAGAAAAAAACAGACACTGCGGACACATTACAGGAGATGACTAGAGACTGCAGACAGTACAAGAGATGACCAAAGACTGTGGACACAGTACAGGAGAAGGACCAAAGACTGCGGACACAGTACAGGAGAAGGACCAGAGACTGCGGACACAGTACAGAGATGGACCAGAGACTGCGGACACAGTACAGGAGATGGACCAGAGACTGCGGACATACTACAGGAGATGACCAGAGACTACGGACATACTACAGGAGATGACCAGAGACTGCGGACATAGTACAGGAGATTGACCAGAGACTGTGGACACAGTACAGGGGATGACCAGAGACTGCAGACAGTACAGGGGATGACCAGAGACTGCAGACAGTACAGGGCATGACCAGACACTGCAGACCTTTAGGGAGGGAGGGGGAGCGGGTACCTGAATTTGACAGGTACCTGCTCCCACTTCCGCGGAGTTCTCCTTCCTATACTGTGGGCACCCGACTTTGACAGCCGGGTGCCCACTGCGCATGCACAAGAAGCGTTGCGCTTTGTGAATGGCCCGGCGTCTTTTGGGACCTGTCATGTGTCCCAGAAGACACTGGACCATTCACAATGCGCATTGCTTCTCGCTCATGCGCAGTGGGCACCCGGCTGTCACAGATGCCGGGGAGGGAAAAAGTTGGCGCTGGAAGACTACAGCGCTGGACCGAGGAACAGGCGAATTCCTGCTGCAAAGAACAGCTGAGCGGCCGGCCCGGTATTCTGGCATGGTGGCGGCGGCGGAAACACCGGACAGGCCACTTTATATTCGCTCCATAAGACGCACTGACATTTTCCCCCCTTTTTTGGGGGGAAAAAAGTGCATCTTATGGAGCGAAAAATACGGTATGTATTTCTCCCCAAATTCCAGATCCTAACAGTTTGGAGGGATCTCATAAACTAAAGCCAGGTGACTTGTGGACTATTAAGAGACATTTCCTATATATATATTTATATATATATGTATGTGTATCGAGGATGGCTGGACCCATACTGAATATGCAGTTATCACCCAGAAGGATGCTCTGTATTTAGAGTCATTGGATCTTTCTTCCCAAGTTCAGGAAGCAGCGCTCCATGAAGCCTGTGCGCTATCAAAAGAATATACATGTATATAGATAGAGAATTAGAGATCTTTTGGGGTGGTGCATGATTTGGGTCCCATTTGAAGGGCTAGAAGTTTTTTTCACTTCGGCAGGTAAACCAATGAGGCATGGTAAGTTAATTAATTGACTGTTTTCAGCCTTCCAGCTTCTTGCTGAGGTAGCCATACAAACACACACACGTTAGAAGCAGACCAGGTGACTAAGAATGCTGTATTACAGCCCCGGACACTTGCTGGGTCTGTGCAACTCACAGATTCCACCCTAGTTCTGGCCCAGTAGAGCTGGGATTAATAATTAAACTTTGAGGACCCCAGAACAAGAAGAACAAGTGGTCCACAGTGAGGAGGCAACTTCTTTTGAAACAGGACTTTGGAAAATGGTGATCTTTTAGGTCTGCCAGCCACTCTGTTCCCTTCAGCTTGACACATGGACCGTGTCACCAGTCAGAAGCAGTTACGGCTGCCTTAGTAAAGGAGCATAGGATAGTACCAGGATTCATCACAGTTGTTTTGGAATATACTGCTTCTTGTTTTACCGGTTACCAAAGGTGTTACTAAAAACTGAACATCCCTTCCAGAGATTACAAAAAGATATATCCAGATGCCCAAGTCAGGATCTTATGAGTATGCATTGGTCTGTATGGACATGTTTTCTGAATGTCCAGAAGTTTGGCCATTGGCAAATGCTACTTCAAAGGCCACAGTAAAGAGTGATAACAGAAGTAGTTTGTACACTCGCCGGCCACTTTATTAGGTACACCTGTTCAATTGCTTGGTAACGCAAATTGCTAATCAACCAATCACATGGCAGCAACTCAATGCATTTATGCATGTAGATATGGTGAAGACAACCTGCTGAAGTTCAAATCAAGCATCAGAAAAGGGATTTAAGTGACTTTGAACATGGCATGGTTGTTGGTGCCAGATGGACTGGTCTGGGTATGTCAAAAACTGCTACTGTACTTAAATTTTTATGCACAACCATATCTACGGTTTACAGAGAATGGTCAGAAAAAAGAGAAAATATCTAGTGAGCCGCAGTTGTGTGGACGAAAGTACTGTGTTGATGTCAAAGGAGAATTGGTTCAGCTGCGACATTCAGATGGTAGGGTCAGAATTTGGCATAAACAACATAAAAGCATGGATCCATCCTGCCTTGTATCAGCGGTTTAGGCTGGTGGTGTAATGGTGTGGGGGATATTTTCTTGGCACTAGCAAGGTGTACCTAATAAAGTGGCCAGTGAGTGTAAGTACAGAGTCCCAGAAGCTAGAGAGAATAACAGAGGAACTAATTGTATAGGAGAGTTCTTAGAAGAATTAACTCTCCCCATATTTTGTTTGGATGTGTGTTGCTCACTTGCTTATATCTTTCTCAGCAGCTGAAGGCCTCTGCTCGGATCTCACAGAGAATGTTTCTGATCTCTTAAGGTTTTTAAAAACTCATTTTTGTGTTTTCGACACACATTCCCAACAGTTTGGAAGAATCTCACACTAAAGCCAGTTGACTTGTGGATTGTTAACCACTTCCAGACCAGACACTTTTACCCCCTTCCTGACCAGGGCAATTTTCAGCTTTTAGCGCTATCACACTTTGAATGACAATTGCGCGGTCATGCAACACTGTACCCAAATTAATTTTTTACCATTTTTTTGAGACAGATAAAGCTTTATTTTGGTGGTATTTATTCACCACTGGGATTTGTATTTTTTTTGCTATGTAAATGAAGAGTCCAACAATTTGGAAAAAAAAAGTGTTTGTTTTATAAAATTTTGCAAATAAATAATATTTCATTGTAAATCTTAGCCAAAATTTATTCCGTTATCTTTTTAGTAAAAAAAAAATCCAAATTAGTTTATAACCAAAAATTATAATTTTTAAACATTTTTTTTTACATTTTTATTTTATTTTTTTATATTATTTTTTTTTAATTTTTTTTTTTTTTACATACTGTCATGGTGTCACTGCTAGTACAGTGTCACCATGGTGACACTGTACTACTTGTGGGGGGTGATGAGGATTTTTCTTTTTTTTTTTACACTGATTGCTTTTACACCCATATAGGATGTAAAAGCAATCATTTCTCTTTCTCTCTGTCTGCATTCTTACACTCATTGAGAAGTACTGAGTGAGCTGTGATTGGTCACAGCTTGTCACATGGTACAAGGCTTTTGTGAATAGCCTTGTACCATGTGACCTCTGTGATCATTCACAGATTTCACACGTAGTAAGCAATGATGTCACAAGTGACATCTTGCTTACTACTTTGCATGTGATCACTGATTGGCCAATCAGTGATCACATGATCGGGACCTCGTATAGAGGTCCCGTCCGACGATCGGTGTTTCACTGTGTCCGGAGGACACAGCGGGCATCGGATCGCGGTGCTGCACGCTCCCAGGGAGCGTGCACAAGCTGGGCGCGGGGAGGACATTTATAAACAGACACCCGACCCTGCAGTGCCACCGTCCGGCCGTTTATATGCAACGGCCGGTCGGGAAGTGGTTAAGAGAAAAAAAACTATATATATATATATATATATATATATATATACACACAGTATTGCTCAACAGAGATGAGTCCACCCCAACAGATTAGTCAGAAAACCTTTCCTTTCCTTTCAGAATCAACATCTTCTATGAGATACTTTACTACAAAATACTCCTACAAATGCGGGCCATTGATTGCAAACAAGATTTGTTAATTTGTACACACAAAAAAGTATTTTTCCTAACAAATTCATTGAAGACCATGTTGCAAAAAGAAAGAAGAAATGGCGCAGGGCATTCATGACTAGGCCCAGAGTGGGGAAGGAGGAACAGAAAGGGTTAAGGCAGATCCAAGGAGTTTGTTTTTGTTAGTGGGGGTATTTGGTTGGTGGAAGGTTGAGAGTAGGTGGGGTTTCCTGTACCTTAGGGTGGGGGGTTTTAGTGAGGGGGCGTCAGTTGGAGCTGGACGTCAGGTGAGAGTTTCCCTCCCACCCTCCCTGTTTTGGTGAGTAATGGGTCCCTCCAGGTAAAGGGGGGTTATGTTGGTTCCTGGGCGGTTGTTGGTCTTTGGAGGCGGTTCTTATCTTGGAAGGTAAAAACAATGGTGTGGGACCCATCGGTGGTATGGGATGCCCGGGGACATTCCCAGTTAACCAAGGTGTAACTGGAAGGTGGTGGTGCTGCACTGCGGAAGGTATGGTTGTCTCCGAGCTGGTTGGTTGCGGCTGGAGGCCTAGTGTATATGGTTGTCCGCAGGTGCATTTCGGATTGTTTGGGGGTGCCTTCGAAGACCAACAACAATTCTTTGGGTTTCTGTTATGAGGAATGGTTGGTGTATTTAAATTTGTGTTGTTAATAAAAGGCCATGTTGGCCATTTACTCCAAACTTGGTGTCATGTTTTTTGTAAGTTATTGGTTAAGGGAAAAGAGGGGGTTTTGTACGGAACGGTCATGGTGGTAATGGGGAGTGGACAAGCCTATCTCTGGTTCAATAGTCATGCACGCTAATGAAAGTCTTAGGAGAAAAGCTAAATTTTAGACCACAAAATCCTAATTAACAAGATTTCAACTACAGGTGAATCTAATTCTTCATCAGACAGCTGTCCAGCAGACAGTTGATTATAAAAGGGCGTTACTTAACAAAGAAAACCCCTTCCTATTTCTTGCTGTCAGCAATGACACCACATGGAAAAGAAATGTCACAAGGCCTGAGAAAGAAAATAATTTCTTTACACAAGAAAGGTTACCTAGTTACATAGTTAGTCTGGCTGAAAAAAGACAAAAGTCCATCCAGTTAAACCATTAAAAAAAAAAAAGTTATAATCCTATACCCACAGTTGATACAGAGGAAGACAAAAAAAAACCCAGCAAAGCATGATCCAATTTGCTCCTGCAGGGAAAAAAATTCCTTCCTGATCCCCGAGAGTCAGTGGGATATTCCCTGGATGAACTTTACCTATAAATGTTAGTATCCAGTTATATTCTGTGTATCTAAGAAAGAATCCAGGCCTTTTTTAAAGCAATCCACTGAGTTGGCCAGAACCAACTCTTGAGGAAGTCTATTCCACATTTTCACAGCTCTCACTGTGCAGAAACCTTTCCGTGTTTTGCAGATTAAATTTCTTTTCCTCAAGACGTAAAGAGTGCCCTTTGTCTTTTGTGATGAGCTCAGGGTGAATAACTCTACACCGAATTCAATATATGAACCACTGATGTATTTATACATGTTGATCATATCCCCCTTAATCTCCTCTTCTCAAGAGAGAAAACATTCAGTTCCTCTAATCTTTCCTCATAGCTGAGCTCCCCCATGCCTCTTATCAGTCTGGTTGCCCTTGTTCTTTTTGTGAATTGATATCCAAATCTGAACTGCATATTCCAGATGAGGTCTTACTAATGATTTGTACAGGGGTAAAATGATATCTCTCTCTGTAGTCTATACCTCTTTAAATACAAGAGAGGATTTTGCTCGCTTTAGAAACCACAGCTTGGCATTGCATGCCATTATTAAGCTTGTGATCTACCAGAACCCCCAGATCCTTCTCCACCATTGATTCACCCAGTTGTACTCCCCCTAGTATGTATTATGCATGCATATTCTTAGCCCCCAAGTGCATAACCTTACATTTATCAACATTAAACCTCATTTGTCACATAGTTGCCCAATTAAACAGAGCATTGAGGTCAGCTTGTAAATTGAAGACATCCTGTAAGGATGTTATTCCACTGCACAGCTTGGTGTCATCTTCAAAGACTGAAATGGGATTTTTAATCTCAGACCCTATATTGTTTATAAATATATTAAAAAGTAAGGGTCCCAACACTGACCTTGGGGTACACCACTGACAACCCTAGACCATTCAGAGTATGAATCATTAACCACTACTCTTTGAATACGATCTTTTCGACAGTTTTCTATTCATTTACATAGATTTTTCCAAGCCTGTAGACTTTACCTTACACATTAGCCATGTGTGAGGAACTGTGTCAAATGCTTTTGCAAATTCCAAATATACCATGTCTACCGCCACCCCTCTGTCCAAGGTTTTTCTCACCTCCTCATAAAAAGAAATCAGATTTGTTTGACAACTTCTGTCTTTCATGAATCCATGCTGTCTGTTGCTTAAAATATTTTTTTTTCCAGCAAGAACTCATCTATATGGTATTTTAATAAACTCTCCAGTATTTTCCCAACTACAGAAGTTAAACTAACAGGTCTATAATTACTTGGTAAAGATTTTGACCCCTTTTTAAATATTGGAACCACATTGGCCTTACGCCAATCCAGTGGTACTATGCCAGTCATTAAAGAGTCCCTAAAAATTAGAAACAATGGCTTTGAAATGACAGAGCTCAATTCTTTAAGGACCCATGGGTGTATGCCATCTGGTCCGGGTGCTTTATTCACCTTTATTCTGTCTAAATATTTTTGGATCATATCAATTGTGAGCCAATGTGGATCATCTGGAGCTGTGTCAATAGCATGCCCATTATGGGCAAGAGCTCCCCCATGCTCTTTTGTATACACAGAGCTGAAGAAGGTATTTAATAAATGTGCCTTCTCTTTGTCCCCAGTCACCCACTCTTGATTATTTTGCAAAGGGCCTACATGCTTGGACCAAACCTTTTTACTATTAATATATTTGAAGAATTTTTGGGGCTTGGTCCTGCTATCTTTTGCAATCTGTCATTCATTTTCAATTTTTGCAGCCTTTACTACCTTTTTTGCATATTCTGTTATATTCTTTGTAATGTTTAAACGATGATAGCATTCCTTCATTTTCATATTTAATAAAAGCTCTTATTTTCTATAGCTTTTTTAGCTTTGGACGTAAACCACATAGGGTTTGATTTTTAGCCTTTTAAAACTTGTTGCCCATGGGAATATATTTTGCAGTGTGTTCACATACAGTCCTTTTGAAGAACTCCCATTTCTGTGTTGTGTTCATCGATGCCAATATTCTCTTCCAGTCTAAGTCTTGGAGAGCAGCTCTCAGCCTTGGAAAATTAGCTGTCTTAAAATTGTGCGTTTTTATTTTTCCCGCATGTGCTCCCTGTTTACAGCTAACAATGAATGAAATCATGATATGGTCACTGCTGCCCAGATGTTCTTTTATATGGACATTTGTCACAAGTTAGCCTGCACTTTCTTGTTTGTGTTCTTACCTATGAGCATTGTCTGCTGTTCTCTGGGTTTTATTTCCTTCCCTTCCATCACTTCCTGGCCCGCCTCCTTGTTTGCCTGCCTATATAAGACATGCTCAGTGTTGACATATGAGGGGTTTATGTATAATCTTCATCAGCAACTGTAAATAGATATTTTTATAACTATATGTTAACCAAGTTACAAAGCTGGAAATATCAGAGCTTGGTTTTATAGCGGTGTGTTCTACATAGACATTGGAACAAGTGATCAAGTTGTAGAGATAGCTTTGTATTGTATTGGAGGAATGTTTGGTGTGTAAACGTGCATGCCACAAGAAATGTTCTATTATGTGAGAGGGGGCAACCACTAAATTAACTACCTTATCTCAGACTTTCTGGGGCCCACCTAACGATCTAGATTGGGCCATTTAAATCTCTTTGTTTGTATGAGGGCCACTTCAAAGTACCCTCTCTTTAGATATGCAATGGTGATGGCTATCTGGGGAATGCAGTTTTACCAGGCTATGACCTAAGGTTCCCTCCAAACTCTCAATAATGGAGGGAATTTTGATGAGAAAGCCTGGATCCAGACGCCTCGGTGACCTGGCATATGTAATTTTATCACTAAAAGGGGAGGCTCTGGGATGGGGCTGAGTTATGAAAGCGATATGGGATGGGGAAATTGTCCAATCCTGGATGAGATGCGTCAGATATGGAAGATGGATTGGATAGTTCTACCACTCAGGATGGCCCCATGCAAGTCTATGGGAGATAGGTGTATATCAGGGTAGGTTTTGGGGGAAGACAGGAGAGAAGATCCACCGATCCTGGGGGCCCCCATGCTATACCATTGGTAAATATCAGGGCATTTCTCTGGCACTTACATGTATACATGATTGTCGTATGTGTTGTCTGTCTTGCTGTTTGTGGGTTTAGGGTATGAATAGTATATGCTTTAATTCATTGGTTGAATCATATACATTTTGTTTCTCTTTTTCTTATTGTTAAATAGATAGATTGTGGTATGTTAGTTTAGACCTCCCTACTATTCACCAATAAATTTTGGTTGTTGTGTTAAACCTTTCACTCTTGGTCAAAGAACTCTCATTAAGGTTAATCAAATCATATCAGAGAAATATTATATTTCATATTCCATAGATTTGGTCAACACTCAGTCTAGGCCACTTTGTCTGAGCAACTTCCTAGTTGTCTGAGCTTCTGTGTATTGCTATTGCTGTATCCTGCATTGACTACTCGTTTACTGACCCTGGCTTCGTTCTCTGACTGTGCTTGTTTTCCGCCTGTCCTGACCTCGGCTAGTTTATCGGATTTCTGTTTGTCTCCTCCCATTGTACTCTGCTCCTGCGAGTGGTCTCCTCATCCTCAGCTGGGTGTACCCGGGGGCCACGACCTGGTCCCAGCTTGCTGGAAGACCATCCCCACCATCAGGAAGTCTGGTGAAGAAGCAGGCTGGGGCTTAGACTCCGCGCCCTGGGGAACTCCAAGTTAATTATCTACAAGGGCTCACTACCACAGGTGCTGACACATTTGTAATAAGCTCTGCATGGTTTGAGATTACCAGGTAAAGCAGAGCATCATTCCAAATATGGGCCTCTATGAACTGTACCATAAAATTGACCTGTAGTAGGTTTCACATTTTTTTGTCCTTTTACTGTTCCTGCAGTACCATTATTCCAGTCAATTTCCGGGTAGTTAAAATCCCCCATTATCATCACTGTCCCAGCCCTTTCGATCTGTGCAAGTAGCTGAGTCTCCACTTCCTCATTAACACTGGGAGGCCTATAACAAACTCCAGTGATTACCTTTGTAGTATGCACCCCCATGTGCAGATGCATCCATAATACTTCAGCCTCATCACACTCTCCATCAACTAGGTCCTCTTTCACACCCACTCTGAGATCACATCTGACATAGAGACAGACACCACCACCTTTCCTATTTACCTTGTCTCTCCGAAAGAGAACATAGCCAGGAATATTAATGGCCCAGTCATGTGAAGAATGAAATCAAGATTCAGCAATACCAATTAAATCATAGTTCTCTTCATGCAACAAACTTCCAACTTACCTATTTTGCTTGGCAGACTTCTGGCATTGGTAAACAAACACTTTAATTAACTCATACCTTGTTCACACGTATTTTGCATATTTTTTATTTTCATACAAATGGTACCAATTCCACTGGTTGTTTGTAACATGGGAACCTTCTTATCATCTGCCATAGCCTTCCCCCCCATCTTTCCCTATTCCACCCACCAATAAGTACTGACCCCTGTTTGATCTGTCTACCCAGTTATAATCTAATTTTCCTTCCCCCCTCGATCCTAGTTTAAATACTCCTCCAGCCTTCCCATAAACCTCTCCCCTAGCACAGCAGACCCTCTTCCATTTAGGCTACAAGAAGATCAGTAAAGCTTTACTTATCAGTCAGAATACTGTAGCAAAAGTGATACAAAATTTAACAAAGATGGAACTGCAACCATCTCACAGAGATGTCCAGGTTGTCCACGGAAGTTACCAACTCGACAGAAGTGTTTTCTGATGAGAAAGGTTGAAGAAAATCACCATGCACGTTCACTGCAGTTAGCTCAAGCAGTGTAAAGCCAAACTGGGGTGATTGTTTCCCATGACACAATATGGAGTACACTGCAGAAGAATGGCATGCATGGGTGTCATCCACGAAGGAACCCTCTTCTAAAGCCCATGCACAAAAAAAACCTGCCTAGAATTCAGCCTATGCTGAAAAAGAAGACTACTGGGACTCTGTACTCTGGAGTGATGAAACCAAGATAAATATTTTTGGAACTGATGGCTTCAAAACTGTATGGTGTTGCAAAGGTGAGGTGTACAAAGAAAAATGCATGGTGCCTATATTAAAACATGGTGGCGACAGTGACCTTCTGTGGGGCTGCATGAGTGCTGCTTGTGTTGGGGAGCTGCATTTCATTGATGGTATCATGAATTCACAGATGTACTGCTCTATATTGAAAGAGAAGATGCTACCATCACTCCGTGCCCTTGGTCGTCGTGCACTTTTCCAACATGACAATGATCCAAAACACACATCTAAGGGCCACTGTTGCATTTCTAAAGAAGAACAGGGTGAAAGTGATTCAGTGGCCAAGTACTGTATGTCTCCTGATCTGAACCCAATCAAACACCTATGGGGAATTTGGTAATCGGCTTTCCGCGGAGGGGACATGTACACTGATCATCAGGGCACTGATGATCAGTGTGCCCTGATGATCAGTGTGGCCCCAGAAGTGCCACCTGTCAGTGCTCATCAGTGCCATGTGCTAGTGCCCATCAGTGCCACGTGCCAGTGCCCATCAGTTTCACATCAATGCCACATATCAGTGCATACCAGTGCACATCAATGCCACATATCAGTGCCCATCTGAGCTGCCTTTCAATGTCACCCATCAGTGCCAGTCAGTGCCACCTATCAGTGCCGCCTATCAGTGCCAGTCAGTGTCACCTATCAGTGCCAGTCAGTGCCGCCTAACAGTGCCAGTCAGTGCCGCCTAACAGTGCCAGTCAGTGCCGCCTATCAGTGCCATATAGCAGTGTCATGTATCAGTGCTGCCTTTCAGTGCCCATCAGTGATGCCTGTCAATGCCCATCAGTGCAACCTACCAGTGCCTCCTCATCAGTGCCACCTATCAGTGTCCATCAGTGCAGCCTATCAGTGCCCATCACTGCAGCCTCATTAGCGCACATCAGTGAAGGAGAAAAAAAATCACTTATTTACAAAATTGTATAACAAAAACTAAGAAAATTTTTCAAAATTTTCAGTGGTTTTTGGTTTGTTTAAGAAAAAATAAAAATCCCAGAGGTGATTAAATACCACCAAAAGAAAGCTCTATCTGTCTCAAAAAAATGATAAAAATTTCATATGGGTACAGTGTTGCATGACCACGCAATTGTCATTCAAAGTGTGACAGCGCTGAAAGCTGGAAATTGGCCTGGGCAGGAAGGGGGTATAAGTGCCCTGTAGGCTAGTGGTTAAATAATGGTGATAGGTCACTTCCTTTCCCTTAGTACCTCATTCTGCTTTATTATATTTTACTTTACTGTATAGATAACAACATTATGCATATGGAAGTGTTGTACACACTACTAGTAACACTACAAACTGTCTTTTTGTTGTGCATTGTATATTACCAACTTTCTCTTCACTTTTTTCTTTTTCTTTCTGGTTTTCTATTTTGTTAACCATAAAAGTTCAATGAAAACCATTAAAATAGAAAGTAAAAGCTGCATAAATTCCAGTATACCATAGTTTGTATACGCTATAACTTTCACACAAACCAATTAATATACACTTATTGAGATTTTTTTTTACCAAAGACATGTAGCAGAACACATTTTAGCCTAAATTTATGATGAAATTTTAGTTTATTGGATATTTTTTATAACAGAAATGAGAAAATATTGGGATTTTTTCAAAATGTTCTGTCTTTTTTTGTTTATATCGCAAATAATAAAAAAACCCAGAGGTGATGAAATACCACCAAAAGAAAGTTCTATTTGTGTGCAAAAAATTATATAAATTTCATTTGGATACAGTGTTGCATGACCACGCAATTACCAGTTAAAGAAGCGCAGTGCCGAATAGCAAGAATGGTAATACCTTTCCGGAGGTCAAGTGGTTATGGGATATGCACCTCTTGTGCTTCTTGCCTAGTGCTATACGCTAGTTCATATACTGTAAGCATGCTTATGCAGATATGTAGAGGTTTGAAAGAGTGGTGTTTTTGTTAGATTATGGACTGCACTAGGTAGGATTAAAATTATTGTGCTTATTGGACTATAGAGTCGTATTTAGGTAACGTGAATAAAAGGCCATGAAAAAGGAGCTTGTGAACACAAAGTCTATTTTTGAACATCCATTTATGTGACTTCAATTAAGCTTTGTAGCTAAACAATACATTGATTACTTTTTATAAAATATACATAGTGATATAAAATCTGAGATTAAAGGTACCATTTAAGTGTTTGCAGATGACACCAAGCTATGCAGTGGAATAGCGTCCTTATAGGATGTCTCAAACTTACAAGTTGACCACATACCATTATTTAATTGGGTAACTATGTGGCAAATGAAATTTAATATTAATAAATGTAAAGTTATGTACTTGGAGTGAAGAACATGCATGCATCATACACATTAGAAGGAGGACAGCTGGGGGAGTCAATGGTAGAAAAGGATCTGGGTGTTCTGGTAAGTCATAGACTTAAAGTGTTACTAAACCCACAACAGCAAAATCAGTCTGTATATGCAGTAAAGCATGCTTGTTATACTCACTGTGGAGCTTAAGGGGTTAATCCTCTGTATTGTGTAAAAATGCTGTTTGATCCTGACTTCTCTGGTCCTCCTCTTCTTCCAGTGTCCCCCTTATCTCCTGATAAGACATATTGTGTGGAGCTACTCTAGCACTACACACCAAACTGAGAATGTGCAGATAGGCTTTTTTTTTTCTTGGGAGAGTGCACATGATCAGCACATGGCCAATCAGCACTGTCCAGACAGAGGTCAGGGGTCCTGCATCCTCCATGAGCAAAAAAAAACTCCTCCTGAAAGCTTTTACTCTTTACTAAAATAATTTAATTTTCATATTCTGGGTACTGTGGGAGACCAGATATAGTGAATGCAGGGTCCTGGGTTTTGTAACACTTTAATAATATCATGCAATGCCAAGCTACAGTTTCTAAAGCTAGCAAAATCCTTTCTTGTATTAAGTCCGCATGCACACTGGATGTTTTTACAGTGATTGTTTTTGGCTTTTGGCATTTTTTTGTACAGCCAGTAAACTCCCCAGCATGTTATCCTAGGCGTCCTTGCACACAAAGACTGTATTCAGCATTTTTTAGCAGGGGTATTTTTGGCTAAAAACACCCCCCAGAACAAGTAGGTTTCTAGAGAACCGCCATTTATGGAATTTTTTTTAGCAAAAAAAAAATTGGGAGGGGTTAAAAAATTGCTAAAAACCACAAACACACAAAAAAGCGGCAAAACGCTGCTAAACGCTAATGTAAAAACCGCTGAAAAACTCACGTTTTTAATGTGACTTTACACAGCTAACTTTACCAGCATTATTAAAATGCCCCATGTGCACAGAGCCTAAGAGGTATGTGGACTGCAGAGAGAAAGAGAGATTATTTTACCCCTGTACAGATCCTTAGTAAGACCTCCCCTGGAATATACAGTTCAGTTTTGGGCACCAATTCACAAAAAGGATATTGGAAACTTGAGAAAGTACAGAGAAGGGCAACCAAACTGATAAGAGGCATGGAGGAGCTCAGCTACGAGGAAAGATTAGAGGAACTGAATTTATTCTCTCTTGAGAAGAGGAGATTAAGGGGGGATATGATCAACATGTATAAATACATCAGTGGTTCATATAGTGAACTTGGGGGTAGATTTACTAAAACTGGAGCACACAGAATCTGGTGCAGCTGTGAATGGTAGCCAATCAGCTTCTAACTTCAGCTTGTTTAATTAGGCTTTGGTAATAAAACCTGGAAACTGGTCTCTATGCAGAGCTGCATCAGACCTTGTACTCTCAAAATGTATTAAATAGCCCCTTTGGTGTAGAGTTATTCATTTTCAGGTTATTACAGAGGAGAAGCAGGCACTCTTTATGTCTGTAGGAGAAAAAATTGAACCTCCACATACAAAAAGGCTTCTTCACAGTAAAAGCTTTAACAATGGAGGACAGACTCCCACAAGAATCTGTTCTGGCCAGCTTAATAGATTGTTATAAAAAAAAGAGCTGGATGCATTTCTAAATGCATAAATATAACTGGATACTAACATTTATAGGTAATAACAGCAGGGAACTTGATCTAGGGAATATTCGATTACTTCCTGGGGGTTCAGAAAGGATTTATTTTCCCCTGAGTGAAATGGACCCTGCTTTATTGCTTCCTTTGCCTTTTTGATCAACTGAGGGTATAGGAATGTGTGTATGGAGGTTTTTTTATGTATTTATTTTTTTCTGTTGGTTGAACTAAATCGACTTCAATCTGATTAACTGTGTAACATGGTGAGAGAATGAAGGAGAATGATAAAGAGTCATTGTAATCCATTATTTATATCAAGCAACATACACCATGGCTTTTACACTATAACATGACCAAATTTACAAACTATATTAAACATTGTGAAGCAGGCTCCATAACAATAATTGCTGTAAACAGTAGTAAATTCTACCAGAGAGCTTTTTATAAAACTCTCAGAATACAATTCCCATTTTTTACATTTCTGTATGTATGTTTGTTTCATATTGAACGTGTTTCTGTCCACTTGTGCAGAGATATATTTGAAGCCCGTTATTATTGCTACAGTAAAAAGAAATACAGACTAGAAAGTGTGAATTCTAAACTATTATTGTTAAGCAGTAGCTAAAGCTATATTTCAGGTTCATTTAAAATCTTCAGAATATCTGCATATTCCTGAAACAGGTATTCTATGTCATAATCATCTTCACCTGCATAACTATGTTTTAACAAAACCTATAGCAGTACAGTAAGTAAAGACAGGTAACCTACCTGTAGATGTCCTTTGTTCCAGATGTAAGTGTGTGTATGATCCCATAAGAAGATCTGTCCACCCTTTATATTTTCTGCACTCTGTAAGTCCGAGGAAGGTGGAGAAAAAGGAGGGGGACCACCTGCTATTCTGCCTCTAGTCTGTTTTGTGTCATCTCTTCAGTCTGTCTTATGAACTCTGTTAATGAGCATAAGAGACTGAGATAGATATTATTTATTAGAATGTGCCTGTTTAGGAGTCAAGTGCAAGTTTTTTTTTGTTTTATTTTTAAATATTTGAATAAAACATATATTACTTTCTATTTAATGCTTATTACCGATGGTGTCCGGTATGTAATTATTAACAGAGAACTGTGTCTGAGTAAAGAGCAGTATTCAAAGTAGTACAAAGGGGGTCCCCAGCACACTTTTAAGCTAGCCAACAAAGAAAACATAACCAGTTTAACTACTCAATTTAAAAACAGAGGTCTTAGTTGCATACAAATACATGTGAAAGTCAGGCTGATATGTCAAGACCCCTCTGATAAGCGTGTATAGGCAGGTGCAGGTGGTTTTTCTTGCCCAGTAGGTGGCACTGGGCCGCTATACAGATGGTGTGGAGTCTTCAGCTGGAATTGTCTCTTCTGGTCTGTCTTCCAGTTCCGTGTGTGAGGAGAGTGGCAGGCTGGAGATGCAGCGGATTCAGGAGGACACAGAGCCAAACTGGAGAGGTGAGGAGGGGGAGCAGAGCTGTACACCAAATGTCAATGGAGGTGACATCTGGTGTTTTACCACACCGGCTGACACCAACATTCTCCTACTTCTCCCGAGTATGGGGATCTACAAACAAGCCCCCAAAATCCAATGACCACCTCCAGACTTTCAAAATGGCATAATTCATTTTTAGGGTGGCCCTGCTGGCATCCTTCTGCCCAACATCCTTCAATTGAAAAATTTATGCAAA